TCCCTCCCGATTGAAAACGCCAACCGCGCCCTCCGCCGCCGCCCGCTCCGCGCACTCCGCACCTCAGAATTTGACTTCAGCACTGCGCCTCCTCTGAGTGTCCGTATACGTTACTCTTTCCTCCTAGTTGTAGGACTTCCACTCAGCCAGCGTTCCTGTGGGTCTGGGTGATGTCCCTTCTGTCTTTTAGTTTCACTTTTGAAATGGTTGTTCGAGGCGGCAAACTCCGGCGTTAACCTATGCCGCCATCTTGGTTCTCCAAGAATCCAAAAAATTGTGGTATTTTTTTATGGCAGACCTAGCAAGTTATTATAGCGACTATATTGAAATTGTCTGAGTAGTAGAAAGTGGCAAAAAGCCACAAAACATGCACAAATCTATTGTATGCTTTTCCCTATTTAAGATAGTGCTTCTCAGAAAATTAATGAATTATCAACTACTTTACCCTAAGTCTAAGACAAAATGCAAATTTGCTTCCCCCTATGTTCAACAGTATGTCCTACCAACAAAAATTTAAAATATCAATTGTAAGTAATATATAAATTAAAGTATAGAAAAGATAATTTATATATACCTGCAGAATAAAGGTATTATTGAAAATTTGCCTTATGTGAAAAATATAGTCTATCTTTCTTTATTTATATAATAAACACTTAAAGTTATTATTTGGTAAAACATTTCTTCATGTTTATATGGCTATATTTGACTAATTAAAAAATCTTAAGTAAATACAGGATTTTAAAAGTAAACTATAATAAGTTTAAATAGTTTTGTGCATTTATAAATAACATATTTCTCATAAACATTGCCCAGTTCCATTTATTGATTACAGATAATGGAAATCCTTATTGGCTTTGCCTTGAGAGAAACTTTATTTACAATGACTTTGGTTGCAGATAAGCTTCACTTAAAGTTTCAGGGCTGTCATATGTGAACGGAATGCTCTCAATATTTATGACAGTAAACTGGGATTTAAGGATGATACATCCAATATTATCGTGAAGATTAATATAGATAGACACAGAGTTGTATAACAACTGATATGTAATCTTTAAGGCATGATTCCCAAAGATATTACATAGTTAATATCAGCCTTCTATTTAATAAGCAGTTGATTATTTTTAATTAAATTTTTTAAAAATTTATTAAGCAAAACACTTCAGTCTGGCCAATTCCTCATTATTATTTAGTCAATCCATCATTATTCCCTAATCAAGTTGTAATCTATCCATAAACTCTCCATGTAAAATTTTGTGTCTTCATGCCTCCATCCTAATTCATGCCTGATATGCCCTCCTTATTTGCTTCTTTGCCTGTGAAGGATAATAAAATATGCCATGCCCAAATATGCCTCTTTGACATAAGGATTATTTTGAGAAACTGCAAACACAGGAGAAAATCTAAAAATAGAAGTTACCCTTATGTAATAAGAATTTACATTAGAAAGGGGGCTTGTCCCAGGAGGAGAGCTAGTAGCAGAGATCACCTTTCTTTCCAGAGAGACTTATGTGCACAGTTGGGCAAGTTTTGTTTCAACCCATGAAACAGGCTATCACCAGTTTGATTCCCAATCAGGGTACATGCCCGGGTTGGGGGCTCGATCCCAGGTAGGGTGCCTGCAGGAGGCTGCCGATCAATGGTTCTCTCTCATCAATGTTTCTATCTCTCTACCGTGCTCCCTTCCTCTCTAAAGTCAATAAAGACATATTTTAAATAAGTAAATAAAATTACTCTTCAAATAAATTTTACTAAATAGACTGTATTGGTGTTGAACTAGCTTTCTAAGGCCAACCTGGGGCTACTCCTACCCAGGGTGCCACATCAGTAAACCAAAAGTTCTATAACTTCCGTGTCCCTGCAAGTGCTCACCTCAACTAGAAATGCATTATATTCAGGCAGGCAGTCCCCAAACACGAAGATAATGCTGGGCCTTCTCACACTGAGCATGGCTGACTCTGTGGCCACTGCCAAACAGATATTTTCTATTTTTGTTCATTGTTTTGTATTCTTTATCCAATGAAAACTTTCTGCCTTCTGACCCATGATGTAGTACTGACTCAGGGTTGTTTTATTGAGCAGGGTTATTTCTTTCCCAGGTCCTTGTCCAGATGGATTCCAAGAATGAAGCCACAAACAAAATATGGCAGGTGAAAATTACAGAAAGTTTATTGCAAGCAAACACTACCTCTAAAACCTTAATTCTAAATTCTAAGTCGTAAACTCTGTCCCTCTTGGTGCAGAGGGGCAGAGGAGCCACCTAAGAAAAGTGTCCTCTCAGTTGCTAATCCTAAGACTCTGTCCCTCCTGGATGGACAGAGAGGTCCCAAAGAAGGGTGATCACTGCTTTCTTTGTCTTGTGGTATTAAATAGGATGGAGACCTTCCTTTTCTCCCGTGGGACCTTAGGCCCGTAATCAGCTCCCATGACCCCCACATCCGCACTTTTCCTTGTTTGGTCATCTTACCTGTTTAGGTTGGAGTCACTTTTGATTTATCTTGTGGTTTTCTCCCAGTTGTGCTGGAAGAGATGTCTTATCTTATGGCTCTCCCAGCTGCTCAGGTCAGGGCTACTGTTGGTCTGACTTATGGTCACTTTAATTGCTCAGGCCAGAGATACTCCTGTCTGTCCTTGGTTTATGGCTGTTTTAATTGCTCAGGCCAGAAATATTTCTATCTGCCTGTGGCATTTCTCTATCCTCTGTACAAGTAAGACAAGCATCCTGGCGTCTTCAAGTCTCTATCTATGTATTCCTCTCCCATGGACCCTCCTCATTCCATAAACC